GCAAGCGTGGCCACAGGCACTGCCCGGGGGCCGGAGCACACCTCGTCCTTCTCTCGTCCCACAACCGCCCCTTCCCTGCTCGCCGCGGCTTCCCACTGTGTGCCAGTCCCCCTTCCCGGGCTGCAAGGTCTGGAGGGGCACCGGGACGGAGAGCCGGCGAGGCTGCTGGCACCGGCTTCCCAGAGCGAGGGAACTGCACGTGCAGAGGCGAGGAGAGTGGACAGAGGCTTGCGCCTGAGCTCCGTGGGGGAGGGGAGAGCGCGGAGCCCCCACACTCCAAGGCAGGACTGGAATCAGATGCCACCCCTAGAACGCCTGGAAGCCACTGGGAGCCCGATCTGGGCAGGAGCCCTTGGGATGAGGCAGTGGGGGCGGGTGGGCAAGAGGTGGAGGAGTGGGGAGAGGACCCTGCCCAGCCTGCACACGGGGCGGGCGCCAGGAACCCTGGGAGGGTCAGGTGGAGCAGTGGCCGCTCAGTGAGATGGGGGTAATCCAGTCCCGCTTCACAGGTCCTGGGGTCCCTGGGACAGACAGACTCTGCTAGAACTTTTCTGCAGTGGGCAGCTCATGGGCAAGGAACAGCACTCTGGCATTCTGCACAAACCTGGGGGGCCCCTACTGCCCTGCCCCTAGCAAGGACCTTTGCCTTTGAGTGGGGTGACTGGCCTCCAAGCCAATCTAGCACACAGTAGGCCGAAGGCACAGGGGCCCCACCCAGTCTTCTTCCTGGCCCAGGCCCTGGGGGATTCAGGGCCCTGGGTACTCCGGAAGGGACAGCACAGCCTGGGCAGGTCCCCAGTGGCAAGACCAGGTCTGACCTTTTCTGGGATCTGTGGCCTAGCAGGTGAGGCCTGAGGTCAGCCAGGAAGGAAGTGGGCAGGGCTGAGCCAGGGCTGAAGCCAGGACCTGGGGAGGGGCTGCCTAGTGCCCAGGGAGGGGGCAGGTGGGGCAGGTGGCTGTTGAGTTTTACAGACCTTCCTTGGTGACAAGTGGGGGAAAGAGCCAAGGCACACCCCAGTGGCTGTGGGAGTCACCGGCTCCTCCCCTGTAATGGGCACCTTGAGGGCCGACAGGCGCAGGGGCCAGGCACCAATGGTCTCTCTCCAACCTGGGCTTTTGTTTGCACCCCCCGCTCTCAGGCACCCACCCACAGCCCTTCTGGGATCTGGGCCAGACCAGGTGGGCCTTAGCCCCACCTCAAGTGAGACTTCAGGAAGAAGTTCCAGAGGAAACCGGAGGATGACAGTGGGATGGACTGTGGGGAGGTCATTTGTAAACAAGGCAGCTATGCCTGTGCCCTGGGCCTTCCAAAGTCCTACCTGTAGGCTGCATCTTCCGGAAGGCCCATCCTGTAGCCTGGAAGGCACCTGGGCTACAGTGATCTCTCTTCGGTGCAGGTGTCCCTCCCCCAGGGCACCTTGCAGGGCCTTAGGGTGATATGGGGGCTTTCTGGGCCCCTGCCCATCTTAAAACTGATGAAGGTGGGAGGGTGGGGTAGGAGGCCACAGGGATACCCCTGCTGCTTGACCTTGATGAGACCTTGGCCCCTTGCTTTCCCCATCTGCTGTTGGGCAAGACCCCAGCACCACAGGCCTAGTGGGCATTTGCGAAGGGCTGGAGTCGGGGGTAGGGGGAGCTTATGGCTGCTGGGCACAGGCATGGCAGGGCTGTGTGCCCGGCTTCTCTTTCCCCTAACCCCATCAGGGCCGGGCTGGCCGCCCACTTCTGTTCACCACAGAGCTGGGTTTCCCTGGGGACCAGTGGACTGGCCCAGCCCCACACCACCCCCCAGCCCCTCCTGGCCACAGCTTGAGCTGGGAGGAGGGTGGAGGCTGGGCCGCCTCCTGGACCCCTGCCCTCCCTGCCCGGCCTTCCAAGGCCCGGCAGCCTCAGTCCACTGCTGGGCCTGGAACACGGAGCAGTGGCTGCCCTGAGAGGAGGTGGGTGTCCAGAGTACTAGCCAGGGTGGGGCTAGGCTAGGGGGAGCCTGATGACACCCGCATTGTAGGAGGGAGAAGACCAAGGATGAAGAGGGCTTTGGCTTGCCCAAGGTGACCCACTCTTTGCGCTTAGGCATGGTGGTCTCCCGGTACAATGGAGGGTCCAAGAACTCTCAGGCTGTGGGATTTGGAGAGGGGAAGGGGGGCATGAGGAGGCAGAAATCAGGGAGGATTTCTTGGGCAAGGCAGCTGCGGGGCTAGACCAAGGGTGGCTGAGGTTGGGGTGAGGAACTCCACTGGAGGAGTGAGAGAGCTGAGCTTGGAGGGCTTCAAAGGGGAGGTGTCCTCCAGGGCCCCATGCTCTGGGATCAGGCTCACCTACACGCCATGGTTCCCAACTCAAATGTAAGACTCTCTGAAGCTCCCACCGTCTCTCTCTCTCTCTCTCTCTGTGTCTCTACCTCTGCCCACACGCCCCGGTCATGACGGCCCCAGTCTCCCTGCAGGTCCTAGAGCAGCACCAGCAGGATGGCATCTCCAGCATCTCTAAGGCCTTCAGGGGGTCCAGCCCCATGGGGGGCGCCCTAGGCCTCCAACAGCTCCCCATCTGTGCTCCTGCCTGCCGGCCATCTTCAGGCCACTCACCATGGGTGGCTGTTTCTCCAAGCCCAAACCAGGTACCTCCTGTCTTCTTGCCTCCATCCTTCCTCCTCCCTCCCCACCTCTTCCTCCCCCCTCTTCCCCCCCGCCCTCCCCCTCTGCACTCGGCAAGCCTCCGAAGTAGGTCAGGCTAGGCAGGAGCCTGCTCGGAATGTTAATACGCTGCGGCCAGGAGGGGGTAGGGGGCCTGGAGCAGTTCCCCAGCTGGCCCCTGCTCCAGTGGGTGCCCCTTTTTCTTTGGGGCTTTGAGTGTTGGTGGTGGGAATAACAGCAGGACCCTTCTTGGAAAAGGAAAAGCTGGTTCCTCCTGTTGCAGGGTTGGGGAAGGGGCTATGCCCCCAGGGCCAGGGAAGTGGGGGGACTGGAGACAACCTCAGCCACTCTATGACCTAGGGCATGCAAGTTACCCCTCTGAGCCTCTGTTTTTCTCTCTGCAAAAGAGAGGGCCTGGCCACCCTGACCTCTTAGAGTTGCTGTGAGGGTGTAGTGAGCAGATCCTGGCTCTCTTCGCCTCCTCTGATCCCCTGTGTGGTCTCGGGCTGCCTTCTTGGCCTTTCTGGGCACACTTCCCCATTTATACAGGAAATCACCACCCAACCTAGCCTGAGCTACTCTGGCCAGAAGTGATAGTGTCCTGGGGTGCTGGGAGAGGCCTGGGTCTTTTCTCCACTAAAGACTCATGTCTGCAGCGCTCTCCCTCAGGCCCCCCACTTTCCCTCTTCTCTCCTCACAACACCCAGGGAGGCAGGAGTGTGCAGCTCTGTCACAGATGGAGAAAATTAGGCTTAGAGAGACCTCAAGAGCCCAGCCAGTGCTCCACTCACCCCGCCAGGCCACCCTGCCCCAGTCAGCTCACCCCAGCTCCCCTTACCTGATACCCATCGGCTCCGTTACCTTGGAACTTGTGAGCCTTTTCTCCCTTTCCTGGGTCTAAGGGGGAACTTAGGGGAGAGAGGAGAACTGTAGTGACTCACCAGACAGAGGGACCCACCTGCCTCTGCTCCAGGGAGCCACTCTTCCTCCCCCAACTCCTGTGCTGTGGACACCCAGGCCTGGGCTGGATCCCTCCCTGCCTCAAAATGTGCCTTGGGCAGATGATGTCCATTGTCTCCCCCTAGAAGTGGGTGGGATGATGCCAGCTGGCCTCATACCAGGCGTCTGTGGCACTGCTGGGCTGGCAGGAGGCCCTGGCAGAAGATGCCACCTGCAGGTTCTTTTAAAGGACCCCAAAGGGCTGGCCTGCCTGGGACCCGTGGCCCAGTGTGGGGGGTGGCCACTCTCACCAAAGGCAGTGCTAAGAATTTAGGCAAATCCAGCCCTGCCCTTTCCCGGCTGTGAGGCCTTCAGCATCTGAGCCTCTGCATCCTCATTGTAAAGTGGGGCTGTTGTGCCTAGCATGGGGGCCTGACACACAAGAAACACTTGTGGAATATTATTTGTTATCCCTTCTCTGAGCTGGGCTCTGTGCTGCCAGGCCTCCCCTGTGGGCCCGTAGCCAGAGGCTCAGGCCCCAGGTGCCCATGCTGGGCAGGTCAGGCATGAGGCTCAGGGAATTTCCAGATATGGGAGTTACAGCGTTTGGGGCATGAGGGTTCTGCTGGGGTCTTAAGGGGCCACAAAGAGACTACAGCAAGCAGAAGACCTCTGTGCAAATCACTCACTATCTTGCCCCACTCGATTCTGTGGCTCCATGTGCATCAGCACCTGCTTCCTGGGTTCCCTCTGTGCTCCTGCGTGTCCCGTCTGAGTTCTTGATAAGAAGATATCAGGCCAGTCCCTCACCTAGCTCAGAGCTAGGAGGAAGTGCAGCTCTCTTAGCATCTGTTCACCCGCCTTTTATTAGGCCACAACTGCTACCTAAAGGCTTTCCATCCTCACCATGGCTGCTAGGAGGCTCAGAGCTAACTGGTAAAACACTGCTGCCCAACTCCATCTATTGAGCTTCTACTCTGGGTTACATACATTATTTCCTTCAGCATCCACTATCACCAACGAGGTAGGCATTTGCTGTTCTCTCTGTTTTATTTTCATTTTTTGAGATGGGCTCTCATTCTGTTGCCCAGGTTGGAGTAAAGTCGCATAATCATAGCTTGCAGCAGCCTAGAACTCCTGGGCTCAAGTGATCTTCCCACCTTAGCCTCCTGAGTAGCAGGGGCTACAGGCCTGCACCACTACGACTGGCAATTTTATTTTTATTTATTTATTTATTTATTTATTTATTTATTATTATTATTATTATTATTATTT